AAGTAAACTTTGACGGTCTGTCATATATGATGCACACCGATTGAGATTCTGCAATTACTTTACAAACTGTATCGCTCTATTTATACGCTCTATTTACTACTCGTATAAATAGAGCGATACAGTTTGTAAAGTAATTGCAGAATCTCAATCGGTGTGCATCATATATGACAGACCGTCAAAGTTTACTTTTGCAGTTTTCTGCAAAAGTGAAATTTGTTCGGTTCTGTCTTGTATATGTGCATGGACTGTCTTGTGTGTTACAGTTTGTTGCATATTCATAAAGTGATGAATGAGATAACTCATTTTAATGACTGACAGTTTTCGGCAACGAACCTATAGTGCTTTGGGTGGCGTTATTGTGGACTCTCTCTCAAGCATTTTTTAGAGGCAGTAAAATCGTCTCCCTCAGAAAAGAGAACAATCATATGAGAGTATTTTCGAAATATAAGAAATGGACGGTGTGTAGTTTCGAGCACGTCTCTGTTATAACTTGTCATATTCGTCCTTACTTGCTAGTAAATTCGTTGATGACCATAATTGTTCGCCACACTCACAGCGACCTTGGCCGTTATCTCGATAACCTGCTTCAGTCTCGTATTTTCTCATGTTGGGAAGGCTGACATGCCGTACGAGTTCTTTGAGATTCAAATTCTGATTCCTCTGCCAGTTGTGATTAACGTAAGTACGATTCAGGGCGGTACATAGAATTTCTTTTTCGATGGGATTGGTATGTTTTTTTGTGTCATGAAATCCATCATCGTTAGTGTTGAACGTATATGAGTTAAACTTCCATTCGCCATTCTGAAAAGCAAAACCACCACCGATAAACTTTGGCGAAATCTCCTCATTAAAAAACCACTTAAAAAGGCGATTGTGTCATGTTCCCGTTGTGGTTGGTATATCTTTGATAGTGTCGACATTTTTAATCAGAATATAGCCCGTTTTGCAATGTTTGCCATTGAGCCGAAAGTCAGCTTCCTGCTGGTATCCATAAACTATCAGTCCAATGAACTGGCTGCTCGGAGCGAAGAGATCACACGAGCATGAAAAATGAACGCTACGCATATCCAGCAAGATTTTATGACCGGAATCATCCACGATTCTTAGACACGATCGATCCAAGCTTACGTGTGCGTGGACTAGTCCTCCACCTCTATATCTGAGTAACAGGTGCAGAGTGCCTTCTTTTGGAATGTTGCAGTCGGACAATGTATGATGAGCTTCCAGTTGTCTTCCGAAAAAAATCAGTCGTTGTTGATCTGGTGGAATGCCTTCTTTATCTTGAATTTTTGCTTTTACATTTTCAATGGTATCAGAAGGCTCAACCTAAACAGCAATAGAATCCGATGGCTTGTTTTGAACATTCAATAATTGAATGAGGACATACTTCGAGCGTAATTGTTTTTCCAGTCAGCGTTTTGACGAAAATTTGCATTTTTGAATTCTAAAGATTCAGTTTTATGTTTTTTGTATTCCCCCAAGAAAAAAAAGAAACTCATACTTGTTTTGTTAACTGTCGATGACTGCAAGAAAAGAGGTGTAACTGAATAGAGAAATAATGTGCAGCCTATTTATAGGGCGCAGCTGAATTTTTCTCTTTCTTATTTTTTTCGTTCTTCGCCAACGTTGCTGCTTAGTCAAAGAATTTCAACCTCATTCCATCGATCCCTAGGAGACATAATAATCAAAAGAAAAAAAATATAAAATGCAAAAGCCATCTATGTTAAACAATTTTCTCTGCGTGAAAATCTAACAATGATGTAATATCCTATGACGAACCTCGATCTGACAGAAACTTTATCTCTAATATTAATTTCTCTGTAATAGGTGGAAAAGAGATGCGATTTTGACTACTTTCCGATTATTTTTCAACACACATTTTCCTCCTTAGCATTCGCCAATTCCAAATGAAGAATATGAAAAGCGACAGACAATACCGTTTTCTATTATTTAACATGTAGCCAGAGCCCCCCTTGACTTGGCACCGACAAGATTTCGCGTAGATTTCTATGTGACAGTCACTTTCGAATTGTGTGAACAAGTTTCATTTGAAATTTTGTGCAAACGCCGCTCTGGCACAAACGAAAAGATGGCGATCTCTTCGTTCATGCGTGTACTTCGTCATGGCGGCTGTGAGTTTTGGCACGAGGCCCTACCTCTTTATAATAATTTGTATATAAGCAATTCGACTAAAGGCGATGAGCGCACGCTATGTCCGATGTGTGCACATGTTCTGCTTTTTTCTCTCGTTGCCGTACGCTTTTCGCATCACAACTTCCCTCTGTTGCATGAATTTCGAAAAACACTTGATTTACTCGTCGAGAGACATGATCGGATGGATGCCAATGCCCACTGCATTTGCCTTTCTATATATTCTATTCTTTCATGATTAATATGTGCTTGTTCTTGTTTAATATCTTCTTTTTCGAACAGTCATATTTAACGAAATAAATTCGTTCAGTTAGTTTCATCGGTCAGTCGAATAGGCTGAAATATTAACGCGAAAAGAAGAAGAACAAACGGAAAGATCTAATGTGATGAAAAAGCGGGAAATAAGCACACATTCAACATGTTGTGCTCGTGTTTCTTCTACTCCAATTGCTTATATTAAACACATTATAAAGAGGTAAGGCCTCGTGCCAAAACTCATAGTTGCAGTGACGAGTCAAATGCGTGCGAACTAAAAGATTTCTCTTTTAGTGAGTATGCCAGAGCGGCTTCCCGTGAGCACTGAGCAGTTTGTGTCGACTCAAATTTGAGCAGTTCAAACGTAGAAACCTGAAACTGACTTGGAACGACTCTCGACAATTAGACAAGAAATAGGTGGAAAAGAGATGGATGTGATTTTGACTAGTTTCCGATTATTTTTCAACACACATTTTCCTCCTTAGCATTCGCCAATTCCAAATCCACCCTCACCCTCACCCTCACAAATATATTTATTTGTATTACGTAATGTAATAGAGGCATATTGATCATCATTTGTTCGATATACAGCGGAAACTAACCGATACATACAGTGATATTGAACACACAAAATAGTATCAGCTGCAGTTGCGTTCAGATTCAAGTATTCTAAATATGAGTCATTGTTTTTGTTTTTATCGACTTGATTCTTGAATACAAATAAGACTTTTGGGAACACGCAAATGCTCATTTTTAAAAGCTGTATTGTGTCATTGTCCTTAGAATTTGGACATTCTCTATTTCTGTTCGATGAAACTAAGATTTGAGTTGTAAAATCACGATCAGAATGAACATCGTTAGCGTGTAATATAAGAATTTTATGATTGATAAAATTGTCGAAATTAATTCCACAAGCCTGACATGTAGTTTCGAGAACAACTGTCATTTGAACATTTGTGCTGATTATAGGAAGTATAAATTGTTCTATAAACTTTACTAGATGAAAGGCACCTGTTTTGTTTAAACTAACAATATGTTTTCGAATGCCCGTTATAACAGACTGAATTGCACCTTTTTTTACTGTGTTTGGGTTCGTTATTGCACGTCGGAGAAGTGTACATAAATCATCGAGATGATCGGGTAGCGTGACAGTTGGATCTATATTTAACATACTTTTTTGCAGTACTTTGACAGCTGTCGTTGCTTTGAACACAGAATTTTCTAGTCCATGTGTTTTATCCTTGTTTTCCCACATAATCACTGCCTTCATGTCGCAATAAAACATCACTTCTGGCATTTTCATTTTTATCAGATGATCGATTGATTTTGTGTACTGTTGATAATGACCTGTTTTTTTCTTTGACCATCGTTCAGTCAATTCTTTCAAACGCCGTGACTTAGTTGCACCAGCTATTTAAAGCCCAACTTGCTTTTGAATCGCGATTGTATCGTCGCAGAGGAGATCAACAACTAAATCTAATCTCTTCAATGTCTTTTTGTTCAGCTCGACATTTTTCACGATAGACATACGTTTTTCTGACGTCCCCGTTGTACGTTGAATTTTGGCGATCTCTTGTCTTAACGATCCGGGTGCAGCAACATTATCAGTTGTACGGTATTGATCCAGATCTCCGAGTAATATATTACTCCACAAATGAACAGTTGCCATATACAGTTTGTTGAACCTCAATATGAATGTTTCGTACGGATTTAAATTAGCCTCATAGGCTTTTGGGGCGCTTTCCTCATCTTTCATATTTGTCTTGCTTTTCGTACGTACGTGCGTACCACTCGATTTATTCGTATCGTCTTGCGATGTAACTGACGTACGTTGCTTCCACACAGATCCATAAATCTGGTGCATATCAGTTTTAATGTTGGAATCAAATTCATTCAGCATTGCTTCTTCCGAAAACCACGTTTGCGAAGCTTGGTTCACCTTTTTTATGTCATCATCAATCTCCTCTTTGTCGATATCGTGAATATCATATTCGTCAACAACGTGTAACTGTAAATATTTTTCGTCATACCCAATGACATCGTCCACATTTTCCTTTTTTATTTTTCCAAGGGTTTTTACAGCTGCATTTAATTGTTCTTTTGCAGCACGGTGTTGCGGTGTGTCTTGCGGATGAATAAAATAAACACAAAATAACTGATAACTCTTTTTTAATTCTTCGTAGGTGTTTGAATTAAGAACAACAGAGCAATACATCATAATTGTTTTGACTTCCTGTTTTTTCAATTTTGATTTATGACAGAGTATTTTCGAATCTTTCATGATATGCGCAGTGCACGCATGTGGAATGGTTTTTTGAACATCAGCATTTGTTCCATATCCTGTTGAAGAGGAAAAGCTATCTTGATTACGATATGAAGGCCTAACAGAACAGAAATACAATTTTCCTATCTTCCACAACGTTATTGGAGAAAACAACTAACTTCAACCATCCCGAATACGACTCGAGGCAAAGAAAAATAGTCAGTAAAGCATGAACTGAAAAAGAATTTGAGAAATAAATCAATAGTGTTTTAACCAACAATGGACAATGTTACGGTTTCTAACAGGATGATAAAAATTATCAAACATTAATATATACCTGTTAATATTCTATAAGCTCTTTCGTTGAATAACCGAAATGTTTCATTGTTAAAACAGGCTAGAGCTGTCTGAATGAGCACCTGAGCACGATCGTTGATAATAATCTTAGGAGTTGGGAACGAATCTGCAGAACTGTACTGTTTCAAGTAGAGTTGTTTAAATGTTTCAAGCCAAAGTTTAATAGTAACAGCATCTTGGCTTTCGGCTAAAAGAAATGTTAATGGAATAGGGGTCCCACGCTTGATTGGGTTTGCCATCGTTAACTCGTAGTATAATATTTTCTTCTTTAGATCAAGACACTGAACAACGTTTCCGGTCGCGTCCCAAGTAAATTCAGCACTCTCCTCAGTAGCTTGCATATCCCATAAGGCTAATCCCGTCGACGTGAGGCAGATAACTCCTAATGGATCGGAGCTTATGCGTTAAATGATCTCAGGAACAGGACCGTGAGGCGTGAGTTGTTGAATATACTTTGTTTTTAAATCAGATAATCTATTAACACAATTACTGAACGAAGCGGATTCGTTAAATGCTGCAATTTTCTGATATATTGCTACACTTTTCCCAGCACCATCTAAATTTCCAGCTTTTAAAATATCCCTTGAAATTTGCGCTAAACGTTTGTGAAATACTAGAGTTAGATTGGCTCCTTGTTCGAATGCTTCTTTCAATGCTTGCCGTTCTGGCTTACGCATGTGACGCGCTTTGAACTGCCCTTCATGAATAAGCGTACCATTTGTGTTGATGAACACGTCACCGTTCTCAAACTCTTTGCTTAGCAAGTCTTTTCTTTTACTCTCTATCTCTCTATCTTACTCTGACTCTTTGAACATCTCTGTTTTTCTCTGACTCCTGGCCTTCCAAGCTTCTTCTCCAGCTCGCTATCTTTCTTTATTACACTTTGACTTTTCAACCATCTTTCATCTGCTTTTTATCTCTCTATTCTATTCCTCGAATTTCTAGTTCCCCTAACCGTTCCCGAATTTTTGCTTTTTCGAGTTCGTTCTCCAAATCTTCATCTCTCTAACTATTTCTTCACACCATCATTTTCCACCCTTGATCTTCAGCTCGTTATCTCTCTTTCTAACTCGTTGACTCTTCAAACATCCCTAACCATCTCTCTTGTTCTCTTACTATTATCTCTCTATCTTATTCCTCTATTCCCTAAATCCACTCATTCCTCCAGAATTCTTGCTCTTTGCAGCTTGTTCTTCAACTCTTATCTCTCTTCCTAAATCTCTAATTCTTCAACTATCTTTCTTCTCTTTTTCTTACTCCATCCCTCTATTATTTACCTCCACCTGTTGTTCCCGTTTTTGCGGTCTATATCCTCGTCTCGAACTCTTCACATGTTCATCTTAATCTTTTAATTCCTTTTCCTCTCAATCGGTCTCTAAATTTTCACTCTCTCTCTCTCTCTCGGAGACTCAAAGACTGAATACCTCCACCGATACTCCACATAATACTCGTCCTTTTCATCAATTATTGCTTTCGCATGTTGCATTTCCATCTTTCTCAGTCCCCACAATTTCCTGACAGCAATTATCTTTCTAAATCCACTCATCCATCTAAGTCAGCACTCCTTCAAACACACACCTCAAAATGAAATAAAATACGTCCTTCACAATAACTCAAAATCCAACTCCTTCGCTGAAATCTTCTCTATCTTAACACACTTCATTATTTCCAGAAAATTATAATTTAAAAATCGATCTTAAACCACTGAAACACTATTAACATACAGAGCTAATCCTCAAAGTAAACGTCCTTCTTCTTACTCCTTACCTCTCTGTTATCAAAAGAAGAATAAAGACACATAGATTCATGACACGAACACACTTCTTCCTCAAATCGAATAAATAAACTCACGAATCATTCACCTATTATAAGAGAGTCCGCATCGTATTTAACTCTTCTTCAACCGCATTGAGCAACACTTGAATAACCTCCCGCACACCCGTACGACTACAACAACAACAACAATTGCCTTCCGGTAGCGAATGCACTTAATCGCACTCACCAGTCTGCTTCCCTATCGAACGCGAGTTGTTGACGATTACGCAGTTCGGCGACCTTTTCGTACGTCCACTTGCGCCACCCCTTGCGGTCATTGATGCGACCCTCTAGGTCATTCATTGCGGTCTCCGTTTCCCGATGACGAATCCTTGCCTCCGCATTCATATTAATTGCATATAATTCTTGTGTTTCACTGCGAATAACAGTACTCCAACGTCTCTTAACTCCACCTCGTGATTTTTGACCCAAATCGCTTGGGGGTTTCCACCTGTACGCTTGTAAGGCGAATCGTGTATCTTCCATACGACAAAGATGACCAAACCAACGGAGACGTCGCAAAAGGAGATATGTCGACGCAAGTGGTTTTTTCACAGGAGGACAAAGATAAAAGTCGATAAAAGTAAAAAACAAAGATTTCACAATTCAATATTCGTACTTCAGTCTTCTTCGTATTGATCTTCAGACCCACTTGCTCACTCATTCGCCTCACTTCCTACAAATCACAATATGTTGTTCACTCGTCATTAAGAGAAAGACAACTTACATCCATATATATCTGAAGTTTCTCGGGCGATTCGGCAAACAACGCAATATCGTCCGCATAGGCAAGGTCCGATAGAATACGACGTCGCGTCTCATCTTGTCGCCGCATATCAATCCCAGCCTCAGGACATGAGGAGGCACATCGCATCACATAATCATATATCACAGCAAACAGAATTCCCGACAGTACGCATCCTTGTCTAACACCACTGGACAACAATCGTGGCCACAATTAAAAGTTCAATTCTATGGCTACCTCACTCACGTGCTTACGTCAAACCAATCCGTCAGTTGGCCATCGACACGAACTGCACATCGCGCACCTTTGTACAAATTGGAAATAACTTGCACAAGACCAGAAGGTATGCCATATGATTCCAAGACAATCCACAATGCTGCATGATTGACCGAATCAAAAGCAGCCTTGAAATCAACGAAACTAATGTAAAATGGCGCGCGGCGTTCAGGACGTTTCTCGATTATTTGGCGCAGACAGAATATATTGTCAATACAAGAGCGACCTCGACGAAATCCCATTACAAAATTATCGACTTCGTCCTCGGGTCGTTTAGAGACCTGAAACTTTCAGGGTAAACTCCTACTGTGATTTGGAACCCGACAGCGCAAAGAAAGAATTTTTCTAACCCCTTGTTTAGAAAATCCGGAAAAAACCTATTCCTAGCCAATGAAAATAGCCGAAAAATTAATTTCAAGATTTCGACTTCATATTTCAGCCACATATAGACGCCATAGATATAAGATTCTCCTGAAAATTTCAGCTCCCAATGTTATGTCTTTCATGAGATATTCATGTCACAAGTTCCAATAAATACGTATTTGGCCACCGTACGACGGAAAAACCAATCTCAATATTTCAACCTGAGATTTTGATCATAGATAGAGATCATCCATATAAGGTTCCACAGAAAATGTGAGGTGCCTATAGCATGTCCTTCGAGAGATATGAATGTCCCAATTTCCTAAAAAACTCATTTTTCGGGCCAAAAGTAAAAAACAAAATTATTTCAATATTTCAACCTGAGATTTTGATCATAGATACAGACCATCAATATAAGGTTCCACAGAAAATTTGAGGTGCCTATAGCATGTTCTTCAAGAGATATTGATGTTCGAATTGCTACTTGAGATGTATTTTTGCTGCTTTGGCTGGGTAATCGGTGAATCCATGAAAAAAATACGAATTTCCTTGAAGACATCAGAAATTCTTTGTTTGATGTGCTACTTCGAGTAATATATGTCTAAATAGTTCTTGGAGCACAAAAGAAGTGAATTTTTTTCTATGATTTTCGAGAAAGCGTCGAAATACCAGGAATATCTATAGGTGGTTGATACATTCAAAACTTCGAATATATGTCGCAGGGGAAATTAGAATCTAGGGCAATTTAGAATTCCTCTAGGGGAAATTGGAATTCTGAATTGCCCTAAATTCTAATTTCCCCTGCGACATATACATTTTCATCGTGGGAGATTATAGCCCACATCGAGTTAGCCATACACAGCATTTTTCATCCAATACCAGTTTTGTTTGACTGAATGGGAGGAACAGTAGTTTACAAAGCCAGTATGTTTCAACGTAATTCTCATTTTCGCCGTTGCTGACTTAATCAAGGTTATCACAGTTAGGCATGTGATAGTTCCATATTAGCTCAGGGAACTGGAACTGGTGCTCCGGTTCCAGCTAATAAGAAAAAAGCTGGTCGACCAGTTATTTTCCTGGGAACTGGGTTCGATCATCAGTTATTTTCAAAGCAACTGGAAGTGAATTCCAGTTCTTTATGACAGTTCCCGAGAACTGTCACACACCTCATCACAGTGAAACAACATTAGTTTTATGAAAGTTGCATTGCAGGGCTAACTCGATATGGGCTACAATCTCCGATGATCAAAATATATAGCTGAAGTTGTCAATGTATCAACCACCGATAGCTGTTCCTAGTATTTCTGCCCATTTCTCAAAGCTCACAAGAAAAGTCCAATTCTTTTGTAGTCTAAGTACTATTCAGACATGTATTAGCAGAAGCAGGATATCAAAAAAGCAATCCATGTATGTTCCAAGAAGTTATATTATTCCCACGGATTCACCCTAATGTTAAATAATCGATCGCGATAGTGATCCGTCAAAATTCAGCTGGAGAGTCGGGCCGTCAATATAAGGTTGCACAGAAAATTTCAGGCCCTTATACGATATCCTTCGAGAGATATGAATGTTCCACTTTTTGCTTCACACGTTTGGCCGGGTAATAGTCGAAAAATAGATATCGATAGACTTACGACAAAGAACTGTGTCGTATAAGTTCACAAATCGGACCATCCACTTTTTAGTATACAAACATCAAGTTTCATACGCAGCCTAATATTGAAAAAATAGAACTCTCCGAGCTGACTATTGTTTGTTCTGGAACTTCGTCTTCAAAATGAACCTCTGACAAAATATTATGGTGTCAATTCTTGACCTTCCTCCCATATTTTCCCACTTTTTCGAGCCACTATTACCCTAGACATTATCGAATCGATTTGAAACCACTTCCAAACGACTCAGCGTCAAAGTCTGCATCGAAACATACATGAATTTTAACAATTCAAGAATGGGCCGATTTGACATCTTATGCGCCTCCTCCCTTTTCACACTGCAAAAGTTGTTTTGTAAAATACTTGGGACAACTCGAAGAAAGATGAATTATATACCAGTTTGTAGCCCTTGTCAAGCTCTATCGAATGATATATGATAGAGAATAGATCATTACTTCTGTGATGCCAAATGGATTTGATTACTGCTACAGTTACTGCAAAATTCAGTGGTGGCGGAGACTTTATGACACGAATGTGCCCGAACCTATTATACAAAAACCATGGTTCTCATATGAGCAGATGCAGAATTGAACGCTCTTTCTAACCAATAGAAATTGAGTATGTTTAGGTACCTAGTGGAACCTTTACGACACGAATGTATGATGAATATGAGGATGATAAAATTTTCGATATAAAAAGCATCAAGGACACGCCGAATGTAAAGGATATGACTTGAATTTACCACCAAAAGATTCGCCTTTCTTTTCTGCATAGGACCTGTCATAAATTTATTGAAAACGATATATGGCCCAAAATGGCTTGCTTATGCGGCCCCGTCCTTTTCATGTGAAAGTGTTTTCCCAATACAGTTTTTACGAGAAGATTGGCTAGTGGAATTTTTCTAGGCATTAATTGGTAGCTTGATGTCTCTGTTTACCTGGAAAAACAGGAAAAGCTGTTGTGGTTCAAGGAAGAACCAAGACCATATCTCAGGAATATTGACATTGAACGAAAGAGCGTCATGTGGAATCGGCATATTGGACATCGAAGCAAAAAAGCTACGGGTGAGGCGCATTGCGCGTAAATAGCGAGGATCACAATCGGTGGCAAAGCCTACAATGCGAATGCCGCTTTGCAGACATTTATAAAAAACAGATTTCCATCGTTGGATGATATCGATTATAGTGTACTTATTGTCCGTTCCATAGGCTGAAAGAAGAAAAGGACTTGAAAGCTGTCCCGAAAGTGAAATTGGTTGAAGCATATGAACATTCAATAGGGAGGATTTTGTTTTACTCTTGAACCACTTTTCGAGTTCGCAAAACGAATCGGTCTGATAGTGACGAGATCGTGGAAAACCATTCTCGAGTGGAGACGAAAAACCGATGAATGAGTTTGACTTTGCATCATAAGACACTTTTTGAACTACTCCCGTGCAGTCTTCGGCAGCGAAAGCGAATCGAGAGTCAATTGACGAAAAATGCTACTGCAAGGAATCATATCGAAATTCGCCTTCGACAAGGTTCTGATTTGATGATGATATGAGTTTCAGTATAGTCGTAAGAGAAGGAAGAGAGCCTGGAAAATTGAGACGAATGCATTCGTACGTGTGTCGTCCGCCCATGATGAATAAGGAGAGAGCGAAACGCTGAACAGGACGTGAATAGCGGTATTGGTTCGTTTCTCGACCTAGATTTCCAGCAAGATTTCTGATGAAAGAGAAAAGAAAACAAAGATCATCTCGATCTTCGCATCGAGCAGCATTCTGGCAGAAAAGGGCAAGAGATTTGAGCCATGGGAAACGTTGAAGAAGTTCAGCCGACAGATGAAGATCGTCTGACTGAGAAGGAATTGCCGCATAAGAATGACATTGACGTTCAAAATGCGCTTTCACCGAGTTCATCAAGGTTTGAATGTCGTTTCGGACGCCGGGCCGGATCATCCGTGTTCCATCACTCATTCGAAAAGCAACTCTCTTCTGGATTTCGAGCAAATCTGGCGAATCGAGTGTAATACATTCGAGAAGATCGACGTGTAAAAGAGAATAGGCTGATGAAATACTCTGCACGCGTGCGAGTTCCATCACGGTGTCACCGATAGTCGTCTGAATGACAGCAAGAAGATCATCACCGGTGAGCGAGAAGAAATTCGCAGGGAGTGTCATAGACAGATCGGATGCTATCATGATAGTTTTTCTCGTATGGACGATCAAGAATACAGAAGTGACGATACTTTGTATTTAAACGGCGAAACTATTAGATCACCATTGAGCAACAATTTTTAAAATCGTTTATCTCCATTTCGCTCCTGACTTCTATACAAAATATTGATATTTAGAGCTCTCGTTCATTGAATGAGAAATTAAAAACGAGAAGATTAAAATTTATCAATTGTATTTTGTTCAATGAAGCATTCGCCAAATTCAATAATGACGACTTGGTTTAGCGATCAGCCACCTAGAAATGATAATAATCATAGCAGAAAGTCAGATTCTATTTCATTCTTTCATTTTGAACTTTGCTTCGAAAACAAAACTCATTTCACTGTTTCCACATCATGTTTATCAAAATATTCGCCCACCTGTACAATAAAATCAAAACTACGTCCAGCTTAGAAAGGAAAAGGGCAACATCAAATCAGAAAATAAAACTAGTCAAGAAGAAACCATCAGACACCTTTCTCAATGCTTTAGGTCACGCGCGCTCGTTTTGAAACTTTGGAGAGAGGAAGAGACGCTCCTCGTTTGGACGCGCGCTTAGTGATGGTCGCCGGTTGTTTCTCGGCTGAAACTTCAGTCGAGCTCGAAGGCATAATGTCAACTTCTTCTTCCTCCTTGTCGGTGTCGGCGGTTATCTTCTTCTGATCGATGATTGCACATTTGCGAGAGCGGAGATGCTTATAATAGTTGGATGGCTGAAAATTTTGCCGTAATTTAAACAAGTTCACTGTGATGCCGCACGAACATCGGATTGCCACTGTATTAGCAGTGGGGGAGATTGCCAACGTATAATCGACACCTTCGGCCAAAGTCTTATCGGGCATACTGAATTCAATTCGAGCTTTTTTCCACCATTCGTCTATTGTGCGCATGATGAATGACCGATGGTCGACGATGGTGCGAACGGAAAGATCGAGCCGAGGAATCGAGACAAAAGAGGCTGTTGTTGCGGCCGGAGTAGGGTTTGAAGGCGGCAGCGACGAAACGGTAGTCTGATGAGCGGATAGTT